TTAGTTACCTTTCTCACCCCACTCCCAAACCCACAAACACTGAACAGCCAAGTGCTGAGTTGATCAAATTGCTAGAGAATTGTCTAGGGAAGAGGAACATTTTATAATTTCTGCCTCCCCCAAGTTTCCCAGGCCACAGGAAGGAAGGCTATCCAGCTTGCATCTTGGTGTGTATTATCACAGAAAAACCCCTTTGGCAAAGGCTCTGTATATGCTCTTTCACCACTTTAAAGAAAATGCACAAGTGCGGGACCAGCAGTTAGCATAATGGCTATGTCGCTGAACTCCCATGTAGTTGACAGCTGTTCGAGTCCTGGACCCGGTGGCTCAAACTCACGCCGGGTGTGTGTGTGCGCATGCCCAAGATCCCGAGAGGAGAATGGAGGAGAAGGGATTGCAGCGTGGTCATCCCCTCTGGGAGGTGATTTCTCGCTTTCTATCTCTCTGTCTCTCTCTGTCTTTCCGGGGAGCGCACACGCCCTATAGCAAAAACCTCTTAAAAAAAAAAAAAGGAAAACGCACAAATAAATGTGCAGACCTTTACATCTACTAGTGTACATAGATATAACATTGGGATTCTAACTTTTCTCCAGAATTTAAACCCCAGCACGCCATCCCACTACAACCAAAAAGTTTACCATGGAAGATTTTGCTGCATACTGCTAAAACATCCTTATTAGTTCCTCCTGGAAATCTAAGAGATAACATTATGGAAATTCTGGCTGCAACAGAAAATCTAAGATTTAGTACACCCTGTTCTACTTTTACAAGTCTTAAAACAATGAAATAATTTCAAATTTGCCTTGGCACAGAGAGAAAAAGTTACTGAAATGTTAACTATCCTGAAAAAGGAACATCTTCTGTGCAGAGGGTCAGGAGGGTCACTTCCACAGGGGGAGGAGCCTGCTTGCTCCAGACCTCTGGCACTCTCAGGATCAGCTAACCGCTCTGACACACGTGGCAGAATGATAGACACAGCACATTCCTCCTGACAGCAACACAGCTGCACTAACTCTACAGAAGTCAGATAACAACTGGAGATTCCCACCGACCCAGTTAAGGTTCACTTTGCCTTTGAAAGTGACCAGCCCACACACCCTCACGTTTCTTCTACAACACCTTGATCCTCTGACACGCCAGAATGCAGGTAATGTAATCGGGTGGGCAATGGCACCCGACCAACCTACGTTCACGACCGATTCCATCACTTAATAGCTTTATGACCTAATTTCTGAGCCTGTTTCTTCATCTGCAAAACAGAAGGGAAATTCAACAGGCTGTTTTAAGACTGATCCTAAACTATCCTTTATTCAACATTAAAGTCTGTATTTCGTTCATACTGTTTAAAAATTGTTCATTGAAAAATCAAGGGATTTGGGCCAGCCAGTGGCATGGTGGCAAAGGCAGCTGGATCCCAAATGGCTGACTAAGCGGTTAAGTCCTGGACCTGGTGGCCTGAAAAACATGCTGAGTAGACCTAGGTGTGGTTACGGTTCTGAACTCCCAATGACTGACTATGGTTTGAGTCCCGGATCTAGCGGCTTGCCTTCTCTCTCTCTGGTCAAATTAAAAATTATAATAAAATTAAATAATTCTTTAAAATCAAAATACAAACAAAATACCAGATACTTGTGCCTACATGACCAAAATCCTGAAGTGGGGTGACAGAGAAGGGATTACAGCACGGCCATTCCTCCTGGGGGTGATTTCTCACTTTCTGTCTTTTCTATTGAGTGCATGCCGTCTAACAAAACAAACAAACAAAAAGTCAAGGGATTCAACAAAATAGACTGCCAGCTTAACTAGAAAAAAGAAAAAGAAGTTCATCAACCTGGGCCCACATCTTTGCCTGGCAACAGTCAGCTAGTGGCTGCTCCCTTCAGAGACTCGCACACTGTGTAGTTCAGGAGCACTACTCCTCCTTCCCTCCTCTGCCTTTACTCATTTGTAATCTCAGGCCCCTGCACGTTTCGGGTTTGCAACCCATTTTAAGATTAAAACCAAAATTAATAGCTTGTGCTGAGTGAAAATGCTTATTAAGGCAGCTATAATCATTTCGCTTGCTTGTTACAGTTTGGTGTTCAGCCTGAAATCTTAACTGCTTCGTCGTCCTCCTCTCTTTTCTCCCATTCATGACTGGTGTGTGTACCATAGCAGAAAAGGATCCATAACCATTTCTACATCAAATGCCTACAGCCCAATCCAAATTGCGAATGTGTTTCCACCATCGTTCACCTGGTGCATCAGTTCCCTAAGCTCCTGTTTGCCGCTTAGACTGGAACAACTCCCTTCCATAAACCAACCAGCCTTTTAATTTGTAGGCTAGAAAGCTATTTATAAGACAACCGCTGTGAGAGGGGCAAGCAAGTTGACTTACACATAGGGTAATCAACTTCCAAATCCCATTTCTGTAAAGTGAGTATGCACTGCCAGACCACCCAAAAACCAAATTATACATCGTGCTCTGACAGTACAGTTTACCTCCCAGAAAGCTCAGGGAGAACCGATACAGAAAACCAGTAGTGCGCCCTGAACACCACTGTCCTTCCAGAGTCCTGGTAACCTGGAGCTGAGTTCCAGACACAGAACCCTCACTTTTCTCCTGCCTATGAAAAAAACTAACCAGGAAAGCCACCACCAACTTGGTTTCCAAAGTTGGGTCTTTCTGCCTATTTGGGTTTATATTTTGAATTTGCAAACAGCACCTGTGCTCACTGGAAGTGGGTGGGTAGTGACAAATCACCCCCGAGGGGATGGTCACGCTGCAATCCCCTCTTCATTCTCTCTGCACACGCGGCTGGCATATTTTTGTAGCCACCAGGCCCAGGACTCAAACCGCACAGTCGGCCACGTGGGGTCCGGTTGCCTTAACCACCAAGCCACCTGGCTGGCCTCGATTTTTATATATATATTTTTTAACCCACCGTGTATCCCTAGACTTCAAAACAACCTGGCCCTAAGGCTTTACAAACTATCTTCAATAGAGGCACTTCCGACTAGCATATGTCAAACTGTCACCCGAAAGGCAGCTGAGAGGCAGACGGTACACCTGTGTCTCACAGAGAACCAAATCCTACCCACAGGCCCCTCTTCCCAGCAAATGACGCAGACCAGTAATTAACTCAGGTGCCAGAAGGGAGTGGGGAGATGGAGCGTAGCCAGGGAGACCAAAGGAAGCAGCTGCCAGAAAAATGCAGCGTTAATCAGAGCCCAGACTGGAGCGCGCAGGGTGGGGGCGGACTGCGGCCTCCCCAAGGCCTGGCAGCAGGCAAGCCCGGCTTCGGCCTCGAAGAGCTGACTTGGAGTCTTCGTGCTTCCGACATCCCCCCACAAACTCATCCTACCCGAGAGCACTGTGCAAAGGAGCGAGGCCTGCAAGGAGCGAAGGGCCACCAGATACAGGGCGCGCGCCTGAGGACGGTCCAGAGCCCGGGTGTTCTCCTGGGCAGCGCTGGGCCGCTTAGGGGGACTTAGGCCCTGCCCGGCCCTCAACGGAGGAGTTCACAAAGTCATGCTCCACTCGACCAGAGAAACTCCCGAGGGCAGGACAGAGCCTGGGCAGGACACCAGTGGGACAACAGGGCGAGCGCCCTCTCTCCCGGGCGACCCGGCAGGCGCAGGCCTTCCCAACCAGCTTGTCAGGCAGGGGACCCGTCCCGCTCCCCGGCCCCGGCTCCCCCACACCTGAGGCCAGAGCTGGACTCCGCACCAACCTCCGGTTGAGTCTGGGCCCCTGGCCTCGTCCAGAACTGAGGAGAATGAAGGCACGAAGATGCCGAGGCGACGTGCGCGCCTCTCGCCAGGATGCGGAGTCGGGAGGCTGAGCGTAGGCCAGGGCCCGGCTCCATGTCTTCCGGCCTCCGCTGCCTGCGGCCCACCACCTCCCCCGCGGGGGGACGCAGGCCCCACTTTCAAGGCCACTGGACCTGCGGGACTCCCCGGCGTGAAGCCAGGAAGCACCTGCTCGGACACCCCCGCGTGAGACCCTACCTGGCTAAGCCCGCCCCCAGAACTAGGGCTCCTCCTCCAATCGAAGGTGTGAAGCCACGTGATCTCCCTGGGGCCAGGGAAGCACGGCTCGCGGGAGGCACGAGGGCCCCGATCCCTCCGCCTTAAAGGCACAGTGCGCGCCGCCGTCGTGTCGCTCTCCACCGACTGTTCAGCCGGCATAGGGGCTTCGCCGCCGGCAGCCCCGCCCCACCCGGCCTCCGCCCCGTTTCTCGCCGGGTGCAAACAAGACTCTCAGGGGGTGCGTGAACTTTCAGCGCCGGTGGCTTCTCCCCTCACGTGCGACGGCTGCGAGAGAAGAAAGTGTTCCGCACGCTGGGGCTCCCGTCAGTCCGATCAGCTCCCGTCTAAAAATACCCTCAAGCCACCGGGGGCCTGCGGTGCAGCTTGGGAGGCCCAACAGC